GCTGGCGTGTGTACAACAGGCGGCCTTATTGCTAAGTAGCAATTTCCTCCAGGTAACCTTAGGATAGAAAGAGCGGGAAAGGAGGGGTACAACCAAAGACTATCTATGTCGACCCTGGAAAGCAATCAAGCAAGGTTTGGAATGTATGAACTTGTTTCAATCTCAGTATCAAATAATCAATGGAAGTATTTAATGGGCTTTTTCAAAAATTTGTCATATGTACCCGCAGCAAACAAATGGCTGGCAGGGTGGTAAAAAAACAGACAGCTTTTATACAACAATTACGCATGGGAAGCGAAACAAAGTAATTGGCTCACTTATTACCGCTGACGTCCAACGACAGAACTAAAATATTCAATAACACGATGTTTATTTATCATTAGTGTTGTGCTATTCAAAAATTCACCCGTCCAGATTGTATCTCGGCCATTAGCGGTAATGGCAAGGGAAGATCCTCGTGACATTACGCGGTTCCTCTAATTTCGGAACCGGCTAATAACAACCGTCCAAGTGCAATTTCTGTATTTTCGTGGCAAATAGCGGGCAAATTGTTTTTTTTTTTACTTAACCTCACGCGATTTCGAGGAAGGCAATCATGGTACCCGTCGCGTGATTAGAATGAGCTTCTTCAGCAAATACGACATTGTATTACAAGGACCGAAAGGGGACACTAACTAATGATTCAGCTGGAAGATAGGCCGTACCGGCTCCTATAAACCCAAATAATCTTTATTTCATAGGTCAGAAACTTACACTTGAGAAATTGTATAGCAGATTGTATGAAACTCTAGGGTTTGCTCTTTGTAATTAAACATTTGTACGCATTAATCATTAGCAGTATTCATTTCAAATATAAACCGAGACCAGCTGCAAAAGTCAAACGTATCACTACTATGGTATTTGTATTTTTTTTTATAATAAATCAAGTGACGGGTCGAACAAGTCGTGCGCCTGATGGTCAGCTACAAGTCTGTCCATAACAGTTGCAGTGCCACTCAGAGTTTTTAATCGCAAAGGTCTGAGGGGCACTGCCCCTGCGCCCGTCACCCTGAGACATAAGTTGACAATTCCCATGTGCCTGTAATTTCACCAGCACCCTTACCCTTCAAAACCGGAACAAAGTAATGCTGACATTACAGCTTGGCGGCATTAAAAGATAGGGTGGCAGTACAACCCTGGATCAACTCTTTCACAAGGACCCTTTTCTGCTAGTTATAAAAATACACGTATTATAATTAATTTTGAGCCAGGCCTAGGTGTGAGATGACCTCACAGCTAAGAGAATGCAGTCATTGCGTGTGCTACACCCGTCACCCTGGGACATAATTTGACAAGACCAGTCCAGTAATGCTCACATTATTGCTTGACGATAGAAATAGTTACCTATTTCTATCGTCAAGCAGTGGCAGTACCTCTAGTACTGTCTCTGGACGAACTCCATCACAAGAAGCTCTACCGCTTCTAAAGTGAAAGTGAATAATAAAAGAACAAACAATAGAACATCAAACATATCGTACAAAATAAATACTTATAAAACAATTGAGGGTATTTATTATTAAAAAAAAACTAAACCCAAGATGATTTAACAGTTATGATAAGGAGGGCAGAACTGCAGTTTCACACGTCAATCCTTCTAATAAGCGTCGTGATTGCGACTTAAATTATGAAACTATAAACTTGATTAAATGACCTGGTAAAAGTTGCGGGAATTTGCAGGATGCGAGATGCACAAAACCGGTAGTTGTCGCGATAATTGGGGAAAACCTATATGATAAATAATATAGGTTTTAATAAACGGGTCAAAAAATCAATGCGATTTTCCCAGTAGGTATCTAACGTTAAACAAAAGCTTTACGAACAGACAATATATAAGATATCAATCTACACTTCTCGTTGTCGACGACTGCCTTCAGTCAATCCGTTAACAATGGAGCGTGCAACTTTTCTTAAATATCGAGAAAATTGGTAAGACCATGGTAAGAAATGTGCAACCTGTGACAGGTGTACCAAAGTCTCAAGGCACTTACTTACACAAATTAAAATTTGTAGTGGGCGACATCAATGTAGTGGGGAAAAGAAATGTAGTAGATACTCTAATTAATCTAATTTATCACCCTTCCGTACTTTTAAGGTCTATCAATACGTGTGTGTGCGGGAAGTAATTTCGGACACTTTTATTATTTTACTAATATTATAACATATTTTAGTGCTCCTGTTCACTTAACTTCACTACAATAAATGTGTTTTCTATTTCAAACACATGGCGGCAGCATTTATTACAGTTTTCTGATCAAGTCTGTCGACTCCTACTTCCTTCTTCTTGACCCTATCCCACACTACGTGGGGTACTTAATAATTTAATTATTGATATTAATTATGGGTAATTTTAATTCAAACTGGCCAGTGCAATAAATCGGCGATTTCATATTTTAACCCCTATTATTTACTTTGTACTTACAGCCCCTGGGGCATAACATGTACTTTTCTTCCACTCTCCAGTATCAGCCGTCATTTCCATGCTCACACCTTTCTTATCCATGTAATTTTTCACACAATCCATCCATCTTTTCTTTGGTCTTCCTCTCCCCTTATACCTCCACATTCATATCTAACACTCTTCTCGACACGTGACGTTCTTCCCTCCATATGACATGTCCATACCACGCGAATCTGTTACTCCTCATCTTTTCCGTCACTAACCTCACTTTATAATAACAATAATAATAATATATATTCATTCCTTATCTCATCCTTTCTCGTCACTGTATGTTTTGAGATCCACTTCTAAGTCGCGGATTATGCAGCGAATTCGTCGCTCGTTTTGCAACAAATAAATACATTGTAAATAACATTACTTACTGGAGATCGAAGCAATTTCTTCGGCATAATCGTTACTTTCAAGTGAATATAATTACTGTGGGCAGCAAATTGACACAATTCATGTTCAGAATTGACATGCGACAAGTTAACATTGCCAGGTGAAAATCGTTTGATTTTTTTAATTTGTGCCATGAGATTTTGGTACACCTTTTTTACTATACCAAGTGGGGAGACGAATAAGTCGTGTATCTGGGGTTTAGCGACACGCCTGTCCTTAGCAGTGGCAATACTACGCAGAGCGTTATCCTCTCCAAACACAGCATTGACATTACGAGCAGTTGCTGCTGCGTTAGGCTCAACTCACACAACAACAACACTCGAAGCGTCGCGTCGCGTCGCGTCGCGTCGCGTCCTGTTTTTCAAGTACAACCCTTGGCGACACGCGTCGACGCGAATCGCTCGACTGCATCTAAGCGTCGACGCCCGTTTCCATATTTGCATAACACAAATTTGTACCTTAATAATGGGAAAATAGAGATGAATATACTACAGGCAAAAAACATGACGCGTCGCGACGCTTCCACTGTGCGCCAGTGTGAGTTGTGCCTTAGTCCGTCTGAACTCGTATTCGAAAATTACTCTATGTCGCTGTATCCATCTTCACCGTTAAAAGCTGAATGTAAAAACAATTGAAAATCGAACAATACAATTTCACGTTTTTTTTAAATTAAGAATGTTATAGATATCGTGTGAAAAAAGTTTCACTCTGAACTCTGACACCATGCAGGTTTAATTTAAATTCAAAATGGCCAGTGCAATAAATGGACAATTTCATATTTAAGCCCATATTATTAACAAAATTTACTTACCTCTGTTATATGGTACTTACAGCCCCTGGAACGCTCTTAGATGATTATTGACACTGAAATTGATTGAGGAATTTCTTTATTATAATATATTACTTGAACAACATACGGTATCTTCGATTGAGAAAGTGCGTGACTGTAGTACAATATGTACGATGATAATGCTGTAGTGTTAGAGAACCGCACATATTAAACGCAAAATTGACAAAAAAAGACCGTCGCGCAACCACGTTTTCGCCCTTATCACATGGACTCAAAGCATTTTCTCACCGGCTTATGCTAATTACCAGAGCCTCGGTGTGCTACAGTTGTAGTGAGCGGTGTACGTGTTTTCCGTCTTACAACCTGTATTGAAGCGTAATTTTCAAATTAGTAAAAATTAGATAACGAAATCACACTTACACAAATTTATTTGATAATACCAATTAGACGCGGCGAACATGTCATGCGCTTGGTGGTAAGCGACACGCCTGTCCATAACAGTTGGAGTGCCGCTCAGAGCTTTCGTAAAGATCTGATGGGCACTGCCACTGCGCCCGGCACCCTGAAACACATTACTGCTTGGCGGCAGAAATAGGTAAAGCTGGCAGTACTTACCCATTAAAATACAGTACATATTTCTTACATAAATCCTAGAAAAAAAACATAAATAAGCGTTTTATAAAGTGCCTATTGCAAAATCGGAAAAAGTGTTAGTGTTCAAACAATGTACTTTCGCTTGGCGCAAATATTACATTCCTGTTATAAAAATATATATTAAATCGCAAAAATAAAAAAACATACTGGAACACGAGACTCGCATTAGCTAACCACTTCGATACATTCACGGTATCTTTATAAAATCATTTTTTATTTTATTAACTATACTGAACAGATAAATATATAAACAGTATTTTAATTAGTTGTATGGATAATTATGTATTATTTTGAGAAAATCAAAGGCGTTCGAAAGTATTTTGATATTTATTTTAAATTGATGAGTGAATTTTATTTATTATGCCATGTTAAGTTATAATGTTTCATAAACATAAGTATCCATAAAATCGAAATCTGACAATGATAGAGTATTCTATTACTGCCCAGAAAGAAACTAAATAAAAAAAATAGTAACTTTCTTTCCTTATATAACGAAAGTGGGTCAGTTGAAGCATTATATATTAGCAAAATAACAAACTTAGCTGCAGAAAGCAGTGAATAAGTCACAAAAGTACGTCAGGATCGCGGAATTCAATCCACCAATTTTGAAGACAGGCGTAGTCATTGCACAAATGTTCAACTGCCCCGTTTAAGTGTATATAGCAAAAAGGATATTACCTGCAAAACCCTTTTGGGTAATCCAGTCTTCTGGCTGAGTTGCTTTAAGTCCTTCGCGTCAGGATTGTGATTGATCGCGAAGTAAGACTTCATGGTGCGCAGCTGGTGATGCTTGAAACTCGTGCGCATCCGCTTTGTGCGCGAAGTGGACCCCAGTGCGGTGCCGCCACGGAAACCCATCTCCATATACTCGTGATTCAGATCTGGCGACGGAAGAATCGTACTGCTCAACCGTAAAAAAATTTCGGATAATTTTTCGATTTCCTTACGAAGATTGAAAAGGCTACGTCACAGTTGTTCTTTAAATTGTTTCCGTTAAGGAAAAGGTTTTTAAATCATACAGCCAAATCTTGATGAACTTTTAATTATTCAATTGGAGTAGCCGGTGCGGCATAAAATCATTTTTTTTTTTTCATACAGTTTTGACGGCTTTGGCGTAAAGCCGTAAAGTCCACAAATATCATTTCCTAACGTACTGACATTATGCAACTGTAGATCCCGTAAATGAAGACAAAAAGAGATTCATTTCAACAATTATTTTTTTACAGATGTTAAAATTAAGAAATACTATTGGTTGCACAAGCACATCTCTATTCACCACTTGAAAATTCGCTTTATTCGAATACGACAGAGGACTTTCAAAATAGCCACCGTATAAATATAACGATTTCCCGCGAAAAGATGTTAGAAAATTAAAGTATTGATACAAAATTACAATGAAAAAAGTATTTCAGTTAATTACTACTTTTACTACGGTTACTAGAATACAACAAAGTTGATGATCAAGTGTACAAACATTATCACCACCTAAAAACTATGAAAGTATTAACATAACGCATAAAAACAGCATTAAAAAGATGTAAAACCCCTTGAGTAAATGAATGTTAATGGGAAACCGAAAAATGAACCGTACAAACACCTTCAACGAAAAATTGTATACCGTAATGCAACAATAAGAACAACAAGTGTAGATGAACACGTTTAGAATTATTAGGCAGTTCGCACAAGCTGTTTCGCATGCGTTAACTCACATTATATTACCTATTTACACAAATAAAAGCTAATGTTAGTTTTCATTATGTTAAAAAAGTGACGAATGGTGCAATTAGTACAAAATTTCGTATATAATTCATTTATAATTATAATTGAAACGGCAAAAAGCTCAACACTTGTAAAAAAAAATGTTTTGTTAATTATATTTCTTGACTGTAAATGCGACAACAAAGGGATTTGACTCATTATTAGCAATTTGCCACTTCTTATATACCAACGTTGTACACTTATGATCATGTAAAATTGAATGTATATCGTTCCTCTGTTGTACATATGTACGGATGTAAACACTTTATTATACAAAAAAAATAACAAAGAAATAAAACGTTGCAGTACAAAAGCGAGCATATCCCATAAAGGGATTCCTTCCATCTAACCTTTGAATATTGAAAGGAAAGTTGGCTCTTGAGTCGACTATAAAATCTAAATAAAAATACAATCACGAAATTTAATGCTACATACTAAATAATTAGAAGAACAAATTTATATATCAAATGTATACAAGAATACATACCATTAAGTAAATTATAATACACTAATGAATGTATAAAATAAGACTATGAATATACCTATGAAATTTAAACAAATATTTTATAAGCTCTAACATGAGGATTCTGAATAATCCCTAGATTTCAAAAGGGTTGTTGTTTTTTAACCGTCTTCAAAAAAGGGAGGAGGTTTTCAATTCGATTGTAATTGTGACGCGAATACACCGATGTTTGTGACTCGTTTTCGATGATTATTTTTTATTCGAAAGAGGGTGCCTCAGTAGTGGTTCGATTTCAATTTAAAAAATATTCCACCTCTAATGGTGGCAAATTAAGTTTATCCGGTTAATTTGATTGCACCCACTTTCCGTTAATCGATTCCAATAAAACTTGGCAAATAAATATAATCAGATGTATCAATATATCAATTGAATATATAGATAAATCGATTCAATTTAATTTAATTCTTAAATACTTACTTCGTTAATAATAATAATTTTACGTTAGTAAATTTCAATTTATTTGTTATGTAATATAATAAGCAATGTTAAATTTAATAATGAGTGTATACTTAAATAAAGAAACTTTTGTTTTATTTTTTATTTACAATTCCACAAAAACTTTTGAGGTAAGTCTTTTTTTTTTAAAGAAAATATTGTTTCCTGCTCCTCAAATATAGTATGTGAAGAGTTTTAACGGCTTTAGTATTTACCTCCAATAATATCCTCCAACAAATTGTAAAAAGTGCAACCATAACGTAATGCAAAAAGGCATATACGAGGTAACAACAATTAATTTTGTTTTGAAACCAAAATTAGTTTCAACAGCAAATGAATGCCATTTTGTTTCGCCGACAAATCCTCGGCGATTGTTTACAATTGCTATTAACGCAACTCGCTAATGTAATTTGGACTTCAAACCTTTGATTTAAGGTTCTAAATGCCTGTCGTGCTTGCGGTAATGTTTTCCCGGGGTGCAAAATCGTATGTAGGTCGTAAGTCGGTCGTAAAGCGGTCGTAACACGCGTCGGTCATTGTTTTCAGTTACAATTTCTCGGCTGTGCCATGCCGGCACGGCACGCCGCGAGTTTATGACCAATAAAGATTGCTGCCAATAAATATGCCCAAACTACCTATATATACATATATAATACTATTGGGCACTTGTGATTTCACGTTTTTGCCCACAGAGCGTAAACGTAAGAACGTTTCAGACGCGTTCGTTTAGCGACAAACGTATCACTAACTGGAAATGAAACTATTTTTCCGGAATTAAATCGCGTATATTTGTTTTTTCAAACAAACCGACGTTTCGGACCCTTTACACCTGTAAAGGGCCCGAAATTTCCTATGTGTAACAATCGCGAAAACCTAAGAACTCGATATGTATTACTAACACTTATCAATTCGCACCCCTCGAGGAAGACTGGAATAAGTGGAGTTATGTCAAAAACTTTTTTGCTCCATTAGATACAGAAAAATATAACCCACATCCTCTCCAATTCTTGTAACTCTATCTACAATATTAGTCGATAGAGTTACAAAAATTGGAGAGGATGTGGACTAGCAATAAACACTTTTGACGTAACTCCACTTACGCCATTCTTCTATAAGGTGTGCGAATTAATTAATATATACCGTACTAGAAACCTTATACTGAATTAACTCAAAAATTGGTAGAACTGATAAACAATTTGAAAGTTCAAAAAAATACTCAATGTATCTTATTATTAATAATGTAATTATAATAATGATTATTTTATTTATACATAATATTTAGTTATCGATTTATAAACGAGAACATAAATTTATCGGCTTCATTGCATTTTTTTAACTTTCAAATCGCGTTTTCTCAATTCCACAATTTTCGGTTACAACAGTATTTGGTTTCTTTTGCCCATTTACATTTAATAAAAAATAAATAATTAAAAATTTAGTTAGTGTCTTCTTTCTGTTACACCTGTAACTTTGTTTTTTTTTTCTAATTTTATGTTCTTTTGTATTTCTGTTTTTCTAATAGTGTCAGATATTCAGTATAAAAACTTCATGCTCGGAAACTGTTAGCATTACTTTCAATAAACGAACACGGAATTTTTGTCATTTATGGACCGTGCGAATTCTTCCCGGCCAAGGTCTGCAAAGTACGTATGAAAATCTATTTACTAACAATGAACTATGTAAACAGACAAAAGAAAAACTCGTACAACCAATTGCCAAGTGTTCGTGATTGCGAGAATTAAAAATATCTATTTGTTATTTTTTTTAAAAAAAGGCGGTAAAATAAACTAAAGTGTTTTGATAATTGTGTGTTTTGACATTCTTTTCCGTTTTTTCATCTTATTTGTATTTTCGATGCGAAAATGAGTTCTAGTGAGAAGGGTTATTACTAAAATACAGTAATGAATACCCATTCAACCACGTCATCAGAAGTTCAGCTGACTAAATACTATGTCGTCTACGTGTCTGGAAAAATAATAGCAATTGTTGTCAAATATTACTTTTAATTTTTTGTTACTTTTTCTATTATACATCTTCTCTTTAGTCTTTTGCTATTGCCTCACATTGTTTGAGAAATGCACTATACATGCCTCGGCGGGAACAGGAATAGTTTAATTCGTATTAATGCAAGGCCGAGCGCCAAAGAACTCACGCTCGTCTCACAATCCCTTACTTCCAGGCCTCTGCAATAATGCACTATACTTACTTCATTTCTTAAATTGCATTAATGCTAAAGGAGTCACCAGACTTAATGCATGTCACGCTTCGGCTCAAACCGCGCAGCGCCGATTGCACGTCCTGTTCGCTCATTATTACATGGACATACCGCGTTTTCTGAACGGCTTAATGCGATTCCATGTTGACAAGTGGGGTGACTGTTTAACACAGGAACGGGAGTAACGCGACGTAACCAGTTTAATAGACATTTGCACACCTATCTATGATCCTGACAAGACGGTCAGGTTGCACTGGTGTGGTGGTTACGGACTGACTAGTGATGCGATATTGAGTTAAACATTATAATATTAAATAGTTTTTTATTTATTTATTTTTTATATAAATTTTATTGTTCACAAAGTAGTACAAATGGCGAACTTAATGCCATTAGGCATTCTCTACCAGTTAACCGGAGAGTTGAGTTCAGAATAAACAACAGGGGTTTTTATGATAACAAGTGACAGAAGAAACTAGTTGTGTGTCTGGAGGTAAGCGGTGACACGCCTGTTTATAACAGTCTCAGTGCCACTCAGAGCTTCAAATCGCAATCCTCATCCGCAATCCATCTCATGTGCATGTAATTTCACTAGCAGCCTTACCCTTCAAAACCGGACCGCAGTAATTGTCACATTACTGCTTGGCGACAGAATAAGTAAAGTGGAGGTACTTCCCCGGACGAACTCTTTCACAAGGAGCTCTAGGTATTGTCCCTGAGAGTGAATTCCGTCTTTCAAATATTCATTGTAACTCTTTCAGATTGAGCATTATTGCTATTAAATTAACTAATAAATAGCTCGAATACAGACTTCACTACCGTTATATAATCGTATAATACATACGCTGTAAAACACACATTTGTTCAAAACAATTGTAGTGAGAATACACATACAATAAGAGAAACTTAAGAACTAAATCCACTATGAAAACGAAGTAATACAGTGTGAAAAC